GTTCTCCCGCGGTGGCCACTAGAGGCGCTACTAGTCCTGGGCCAACAAACCTTCGCGCGCCAGTCGCTGCTGTTGTTGTTTGTAAGGATTACCCGCTCTATTAATTTTACTCACAGTCAGCTAAAATGAACAATTCAAAGTACGCAGAATGGACGTTACCTTCATTAAAGGCCAAACTACGTAAACACGGTGCCAAATTGTCTGGCAGAAAGTTGGAATTGGTCGAAAGGCGAGTTTGATGTGGTGATGTGATTGGGCGATAATATAGGCTGTTGGGAATATGGATGCTGATTGCTGTATGATCACGTTCAGAAACTTAGCAACAATTGACAAAAAAAAATGTGTGATTGCGTGGAAGTACATTTAATTATTAACAACAAAAATTAAATCTGGTTGATATTTCTATTTTATGTATATGCCTGAAAATTCTTAATAAATAACTTATAAGAATATTTATAAATATCAATGACAGGGCCAAAGGCGCTTAAAGTCTGTTCTGTCCCATGCCACTAATGTAAGTTTCAGAGTGGCATGGGACAGAACAGACTTTAAAAAATATCATAAGTATTTGAAAGTACTTGCATAACTGGTAATACTAATAAATGTGTGCGGGTTGAAAGAAAACTGAAAAATGGTCAGCTAACACAGCCCTGTCAGTATATACATGTATTTTTTTTAATTTTAGGTTGGAAGCCTATGACCAAATGCTGACTTAGGTGAGGTGCCCGCTGAGGCAAAGTGGCAGATGGATGTCCCCCATGATCTGATATTTTGGGATATCAACACAGACACAAAAGTAAAGTTTTATGTTCTGATACCGGTTTTTTTGTACATACATGTATTTATATTTAGCACTTACATATATAAAACAAAAAAATTTAGCCAGACCAATGAATAATTTTGCTTAGTTTTACACACTGTTGTTGTAAATAATTTAGGTTGACTTCTAAAGCTTGACTGCTAAAATAACCGGCAATATGTATAGCAATGTGTACGTAAACAGATTTATGTACAAATAACTATTTTTTAATAATTTTTATTTCACTTTATTTCAGCTACCTCCACTGACAGAACAGAAAATAAGAGACTACTTGGAGCTGTTCTCTCAAGAACTGAAGAGAAAGTCCCTAGATCTTTACCATGGGAAGTTCTTGCGGCCATACGTGCTGCCCATAATCCTTCAGATGACATGACCTTCATCCGTAGCCGAGTCTCTGCTGAAATGTCCAAGAAGGCTGTGTATGTGGTCCAGGTCAAGTTGGATAAGTTTGGGGTGGTCCAGGAGTCTGAATGCGAGTGCGGTGCTGGTGAAGGACCTGAAGCCCACTGCAAGCATGTTGCTCTGGTGCTCTATGTTCTTACTCATGTCAAGACTGGCATAGTTACTAAGGAAACATGCACCCAGAAACTTATGACATTCCACCAGGCAAAACAATACAGTGGCTCACCAGTCAAGATAGAGGAGTTGGTTTTGCGTGACTCGCAAGCCTTGCAGTCCCTACGTGACTTTGACCCTAGGCCAGTATCATCTCTAGTTAGGACTGCCAAGGCTGCTGATTTATTCAGAAGTGTGTGGGTCAACAACCCCCATCCCAACCTGCAAGTCCACCACCACTTTGCCTCGGCCAATGTGTATGCCCATGACCATGACTACCTCAAGGATACCCCTGAGGAACACTTCCTGAACAGCATTGGCCTAGGCTGTGTGACACCAGCCTACTGTGAAGACATCCAGCCCTGAACAGTTGGACAAAGTACAAACAAGCTGTGGAAGACCGAACGTGTCATAAGAATTCATTCTTCGAATTTCGGCCGTATATGCAAACGCACAGACCTCACAAACAGCACACAGCTTGCTGTCAGCCTTATGACCATGTACGATCTCAACACAGATGCCATTAAGCACGGTAGGAAGTATGAGAAAACTGCCCTAGATACTTTTGCTCAGAGTAGCGGTGTTATCATCGAGGCCTCTGGCTTAGTGGTTAAGCCGACCATTCCATTTCTTGGCTGCTCACCCGATGGTCTTATCGGAGACAATATTTTAGTCGAGGTTAAATGTCCATATTCTGCCCGTGCACAAATGATCTCCCCTGCCACTGTACCATACTTGTACGAGGATCAGACGGAACAGTTGAGGCTTCAAGAAACCCATAATTATTATTATCAGGTTATGGGAGCATTGTTCGTTACTGGTCGGTCTGAGTGCAAGTTTGTTGTGTGGTCTTTTAAGGACATGAAAACTGTTAATATTGTGAGGGATGACCTCTTCATATCCGACATGTTGTGCAAACTCCATGATTTCTATAGAGAACACTTCAGGGGAGCTCTACTAAACAAACTTTTTTATCATAACTAAGCTGCATGTTACTCAAAGCGTTAATTCTTAGCATTATTTGCACAACAAGTCAGATATGAAGCCTTTTTGAAATATTTATGCATGTTTCATGATTATTTTTACATATACAATGTACCTGATATATATTAACTTTTATATTCCTCTTAGTTTTGTAAAGGTTATTTATTTGTTTCTAAAGAAATGTGGAGTTTCTATTTTCTTCCTTAGTATATCATAATTGCTCATTTTTTCATTTAAGCCTAATTTTAGGCGGTTTCTTGTTCATGTATATCAACACTTGTCAATTCTTATATAATTTTATGAAGTAACCATGTGACAATTACCTCTATATTCTACTAACAAATCTGGCATATTTTGTTATTTGGAATTATTCTGTCAATATTATTGTTGACATAATTATCTATTATATGGCAATCAATATATCTTAATTTGAAATGTTATTTATGCAAGTGAATAACCAAGCACACAGTTGAACACAAGCTGGGTATTTAGAAAGCGAATGATATACAAATAATTACTGTAAATATTACACAACCAACAGCAAGCAAACTGTTTCTTAAGCATCACTGGGAACAATCGAAGGCCTGAAACTGATCAACATGAAGCAAATATAGATTATATCGGATGCCAAGACAGACTCTGTGTGGTTTAACGGATGTGTTAATATCTTAAATGTCTTAGTGAGACCAATAATGTGTTCTACATGAGCACGCTTACTGGATATCCGTTTGTCGCGCAGGACACTTTTGCCAGACATTCGATTCTTTTTTTTTGAAGAAAGTCGG